TCCTCTTAGCTAAAAGAAGTAATTTATACATGTGGGCAGTAGCAGTTTTTCTTTTAAATTTGTGTTTAAATGGTATGTAATCCTCTCTTTTCTTTTTCTTTTTCTCTTCATCGGTTGTCGCAACTTTTTTTATTTTTTAGTTTATTATATTCTTATGTAATATGATTTAAGTTTAAAAACTCTTATTTTTATAATTATAATGTGATTTAAATTTTTAAAAAAAATTATTTATTAAGCTACTGATTAAACCGTTGACTAACTAATATCTCAAAAAAATAAAAAAAAGCCGTTGACTAAGTAAGAACAATTAAGAAAAGGTGGTATCCTATTTAAATTTCCCCAGAAAACAATCCATCCACTCTTTCTTTTTGACAGGCAATAATGCAGCCACTTGTTTTTGTTAATTAAGTTGACACTTAATTATTTTCACCTATCTTAATAGTGTATATTTTCTTTCAAATGCGTAGTATACGCTCATAAAAAAATCAACGTATGTAACATGATGCGTGTACGTTTCATTATTGGGCTGTTGTGCTGTAGATATTTTGTTTTTCATTTTTATTTGGTTATTTATAATAACAGTATTTTAGACTAACTTCTATACATTAATTAATTTTTTTAATTAATCTTAAGAGCACATCTCATACATTGGTATGGTACAATCAAAAAATTTGATTTTTTTAAATATTAATTCTAGAGCTTGAATTTTAAATTTAGATTACAAAATAATATTTACTTATAACTAAATTTAATCTTTAACATTATTTGTTTTTCTTATTTTAATTATGAATTATTTTAATGTTAATCATGCCTGATGCCAGTCAGCCTGAATGGTACCGCACCTATAATATTTATTTTATTTTTAAATTTAAAATTATGTAAAATATATTCTATTTCAATCCCACTCTTAGAAAACCTGTTTTATTCTAACCCCTACGTATTGTCGGACTATAAGGGGAAGTTTGTTAGGTTGAATTTATTGAGACGGTGCATTTATATATAAATTTGTATATATTATATTTATATAAAATTTTAATAATTTAATTTTTATTTTTAATAATTAAAATTTATTATAATTTTTAATAAATATAAATAAATTTTAATTACTAAAAGTAAAAAAAATAATTAAAAATTTATATAAATATAATATGTAAATTTTGTATATAAACAAAATTTTACTCTTTTATTTAATTAATATAAAAGAAGCAAAAAAATCAAAGTTGACATGCAACCTCACACTTTGTGTTGGAATAGGCACGTGACACATTACGTTATCCAGCTTCCACACCATTAAGCATTTCAAAATTAAAAAGTCAACCTTCATCCCTCGAGAATTTTTACTAGAATTTGTTACGCAGTTATTACGCACCAGATGTCGTAATTTTTAATTACCATTTATTTATTATATAAAAATATCAAGA